ATACGCACTGCTGTACTTTAAAGGCGGGGTCGAACTGGTTGTGATCGTAAGGCCGCCGCGGGCGCAGGCAGGGGCACACGCGCCGAGACACCTGGCAGATGCTCACCACGCACACCAGGCAGTGCACCACCGCCACGATCAGCACTGCGATGTTCGCCAACACCGGGCTCCATGCTTGCATTTCATCCTGAACAATGAAATGAATTTGAATTTCACCATTACAAAAACATGTTACTTCTACGGAATCATTAGAATATATTTAATTTTAGCACATCGCAGCAATATAAATCTACAAAGTCCGTTAAGTTTAAGGTATTTTATACAAATGCGACTATATATATCGTCATTTATATTTCCATTTGAACCGCATAGTTAAGCATCAAAAACAAAAGCTTTGAGCATTCTATATCAGTTTGCGCGCCGTAGCGGGCACTGTTTCGCAGCAAAGCGCTATTGTAAGTCGACTTATCACATTTATGAGATAACCGTTAAACAGTTAGCTAAGTGGTATTGTCATAAGCGTGTAGCTTGCGGAGTGCACCAGACGTTCCCAGGCTAACTCGCTAACGGTACACGCGGCTAGCATCAGGTTTGCACATGCGAAAACTGATGTATGCTCACAGATAACGAGGAATTTAACAAAACATTGACGATGTAAACTATGAACTATCTAGTTATGATATAGTTACTAGTTTAGTTTAGTTTTTTAACACAAAAATAGTATACAAGAAAACGTTTTATTATAGGGTTGCTACCTCTCCTGCTATCAGATACTTAAACTTATTATAGGATTCGTTTATATTATTCGAACACGTAAATATAAAATTATAGTTATACTGGTAAATGTTGCAAGGGCGCAACAAATGATCAAGCACAGGTCACGACAATGTTTAAGATGTTCATATGTTATTTTCCCACACGCGCCGGTCAAGGCTCCCGCTCGGTACATCTGCGCATCTGCGCTCATAGCACGGCTATACGAGTATTACACTGCTATGACCATCATGTTAACTCAACTACGGATTATAACATAACCTTGTAACTACATCGCAATACATACAAACTTTTACGAATGATGCATGCTAACATTTTGTAAGATGCAACTTTTTTTATACTTCGCATATTTACGAATTGATAAAACAATAAGTACTAAGTGTTTAACTTTGTTTATTACAGTTAAAGTGAATAATTGTCTTCTTAAATATGTACCTAATGGTAACCCTAACCCCCCACAGGCTGCTCAATTAAGCGAGATGGCGGACTACGTCTTAGCGCGTGATTTGTTCTGATTACCCTAATTTGACAAGTGCGGTGCCATGATGTAAATGTCGTGGCGTTCTCCCGCACGACACACCTCGTTACGTTAACCCAGAAAATAGTATACTAATTGAGACTTTAATTTGTTTAATAAAGATTTAGTTATGAAATTCAAATTGTATGCGAATTCATGTACGTGTACTAAGGTGCTCGGGTAAGTTAGGGGTGATTAGTACTAGTAACACTAGAGCTAGTATTGTGACTAACCTGGAAGGTGGTGTGCTGAGGAGGCTGTCTTGCGGCGTCGCGCTGCAGTCCAGTGGCGGCCAGCACGGCAGCACTATTGCCGCTGGCCAAACACAACAACGATAGCGCCAGGAACGACGTTACCAGTGGTCCACTCCTATACAACATGGAATTAAACAATGACCAAATGAAACAGGCCAACTGCATATTGTAGATTATAAATATCTGTAGAGTTTCTGTTCATAGTTTTTTAGTTTCCTATAACTGACAAGTTCTAGGATATATTAATTAATGACGTAGTATTTAAATAGTGATGTGTGGCGAGTGTGGCGAGTGTGTCCGCGACCGCAGAGTTATGTTATCAGTCGTGCTCGTGCATAGCAATTTGAGATATTGATCCCGCAATGCTTTCACTGCCGCTCGCTTTTATCATATTTATGCCGCCTAATTACACTAATTACACATCGGGAAATTAGAAAGAAAATAGATTGATGAAGTAAGATTGCTCAGTATGACAGCGTTTACTTACGTAATATAAGCATAATTTACAAATCTATAATTAATTTTATAAAGAGGAAAGATTTGTATTTTTGTATGAATGAAATAACTCAAATACTACTGGACCGATTTCAAAAATTCTTTCACCATTCGAAAGCTACGTTATCGCTGAGTAACCAAGGATATGTTTTTACTAGTTTTTTTTTTATTACGCGCGGGCAAGTCGCGAGCTAGTTATACATAAGCATGAAGTTGGGTTCAATAAACACTACTGGTCGACGCAAACAAAATTTAAGTAAATTATTCACATTTTGATATTTTTTGGAGTTGCTTATACGTGTCTTAACACTTAAGTACCAAGATAATGTATTATTGCTGAGTAAACCTTACTATGGTTTTATCAGAATAGATGACAATTTCCGTATGTTGGAGTATCCGCACGTCGCATACGGCAGTCAGAGAAACTGCAGTGAAAGCAGAACAAGTGCTGACGCGCCTGTCAGCCCACACTACTCGACTCGCTACGTTATTTACTTCACTACGGACACTTTATTATAAACACATCAGTAGAGTACAACACTATATAAATCCCAACTAAAGCTTTTATAAAAATCTTTAAATGTTAAATTATTTAAACTTTCGTGAGACATTTTATAATTAATTATTTAACGGCTTACTCACGTCATACTTTTTTCCGGTGACGGCACCGACCAGTTTCAGACCCTGCGGGGGTCCTTCTTCAGGGTGAGGGTTAAAGATGTTGTATCGTGGTCGCGTCGCGCATCGCACTATGCTTTAAATGTTACCTAATTTGAGCACTCTATCAGATTGCAAAGAACATCCTCTCATTTGTATACTAGCTTTCGCCCGCGACTCAGTCGTGGTGGAATTTAAAAAAAAAAGTATGTAGCCTCTGTTCTTCACGACTATCCTCTACATCTAAGCCAAATTTCATCGATATCCGTTCAGCATTTTAAGCCACAAACTCTAACAAACATTCCATTCATCCATCTAAACTTTCTCATTTACTTATAATATTAGTATGTTTAATGCGTAATGTTGTAATTACTTCTTTTATTATATAAAGTAAATATAACTGTGTTAAAAGAACGACAGTCTGTAGATATACATATGTATATTACACATATGTGTATTTACATAAAAAACTAAATAACGCTAGCTCGGTAGGAAATGGTAAAGCACGCGAGTGGCGCCGCGCACGGGGAAATGCAATCAACAGCTTTCTTTGTCTATATTTGTCATTAGTCGTATTTGTCTATTTATTATTAAATCGACTAAAGTGTTTGTAAATAACTTATCAATTACTTTATTTCAAGATTTAATATGTCGCAATATTTAAATATGTAACAAAACGTGCTAGAACGTTAATAAAATTTAATTTAATTCAATTCATTTATTCTACTGTTTTAGGGCGATTGATTTCTTACTCCCATTGAATGTAGTTAACTAAAATAATTATCGGGTCTATTAAGTATTATCGCGTTCGCATAACATAAAAACCGTATTTGTTAATACATAAACAAGCGTCGCATTAGAGGACGGCCGGTCGCCGGCTCTCAGGACAGCACGTAGCAAATAGTACTTACTTCCGCATTGCTGACTCTAGTTGTAGTCATGTAAACAATAGTCACAAAGATCACGGAGGTTACGACTAGCCTTACAAGTCCAAGAATAAATCACTACTTGAAATCTAACAACATTGTATAGAGTAACTGGGTAGTCGTAAACAACTACTATTATTCCTTAAGTAAAGAAGCGCAATTAAACAATAAGCTAGCCGGATTTTAACAAACTACATAGTTAAGTTAAAGCAAAGAGAACGTTCCGAAAGAAGATATAGACAAATTCCCGACTTAATGTTATACAAACGCAATATAGTTTCTGAGATGGCTTCTTGCCTGTTCTCCAACAAAAGTTTACTTCTCTCTATGCAATGTAATATACGAGTAGTACATGTCGATAAACAAACGTAATGACCAACGCATAAAGATCGATCCTAAATTGTTCAGATAAATAAGTAGCTAATGTTAGAAAACTTGAGACATTTTCTAATGTCATAACTCATTTGTAGAAAGCAATGTAAGCGAGTGTTTACATCAATCGCAACTTAATCGCCGCCAAGTTTCCACACGCGGCCGCGAGCGTTGTGCAACACGTTGCAGCGCGCACTGCAG